AACAGGAGCCTACAGAGTGGGAGAAAAATTTTGCAATCCATCCATCTAACAAAGGGCTGATATCCAGAATCTACAAAGAACTTAAACAAATGTACAAGAATAAAACAAACAACCCCATCAAAAAGTGGGCGAAGGACATGAACAAGAGAAAAAAAATCCGAGTTCTTTCAGCTTCGTATACAAAAGTCCTACATGCTTTACCTGTCCTCAGTAACAATTGGGTTTTTTGTTTGTTTTGTTTCGTTATATCTACATATTCCAACCAACTGAAAGATCATTTGATAAACAATTGAGTATGATTAGCATGCAGCTTAGAAGTAAGTCTTAGGGCCTTTTAGCTTTGCACTGAAACTGGATGAATTCTATATATAATTAATTTAAATGTTTCACTGGGAGATTTTTCAAGTGTTGTGAAAATTTGTTCTCTTGTTCAACACTAGACAAAGACTTATTGAGTATCCTTTGAGAATAGTCAGGCATGCATTTAAAACATAGCATTAGTTGTACAGAATATCCCAGCCTAGCAAGGAGATAAGAACATAAATATTAATATGCCAAATAAAACATCAAAAGAAATAAATGCTAATAAATTCCAACCAATAGTGGCCAAGCTCACTTGATCTAAACAGGAAAATTTTCCTGAGTAAAATAAGGAATATCCAGAAACCTAAATCTGCTTAGAGGAAGAGAGAGAAGATGTAAGTGATGTTAATTTTATGATGTTAAAAAATAAGTCGATAGCAAAGTCAACATAGAATCCAGATGTTCTTGCCAAACGCAAAGCCTTGGTTTAGCTGGTTGGCACACAGATCTAATAGAGACAACTAGGACGCTGGTATAAAATAAACTTCTTTCTCTCCAACAATGTCAGCAACACAATTTTTGAATGAAAATAAAAATACACTTGTTTCTAAACTTTTTATTGATGTACCTAATAACAATATCTTTCACCTACAAGAAACAACTTTATTTTAAATAATGACATTTACATATGAAACACGAAAAATAAGTTATCTTTTAGGCAAGGTCATCTTAATTTTCGATATATATTTTTTGACATATATTATTTCCACCGATTTTGTCTTTACAAGTACTCTAAGGAAGATGCTCTTCTCACAGGATCCTTTGGGTGTCTGTTTTCTGGCCAGAAATCCCTGCAGCCAGTGATGCCTTTGCCTGAATTTTGCTCTGGCCTACTGGGCTTGATCTGCCCACTCGGCCTGGCAGGCAGCACTCAGCTCACACTGCCAGCCTGGATCCTGTGCCTGCCAAGGGTGAGCCAGGCACCGACCGGTGAGGGGTGTGTGAGTGAGAAAGCATGGGGTTCAGCCACTACCCATAGATAGGCACTCTGGCTGCAGCACAGCAGGCAGCTCCAGGCACCAGCTCCCTGCAAGGCTGTGGCTGGACCTGGCATATGGCAAGCAGCTTCCATGGCTAGCACCAGGGAATGTAGTGGCACCCAGATGCTTGGAGATGCCAGGAACCAGAGAACCGCAAAAAGTGTGTCACAGCCCTGGCTTGGGATGCTCCTAGATATGGGTTGTCTGACGGGCTGAAGCTCTTCTCTCCTTCTTTCTTCTCTTTTTCTTGTTGCCTGCAATGTGGCAAGCAAGGGGTGTATTTCAGCCCTGTTTCTGTTACAGCTCTTTCAGGCCCACCATTTGGCAGGTCCCAAGTTCTTGTCTTGCATCCAGTAAGAGTAAGCTATGCAGACAAGTAGTGGGTGAGCAAGGTGAAGAGGTGCTTTATTGAGCAACAGAACAGATCAGAGGGGATCCACAATGGTTAGCTCCTCTCCATAGTCAGGTCATCCCAACATCTGTTTAGCTCTCAGCGGACAGGAGACCCACAGTGGGTAGCTCCTTTTCGCAGGGCAATCTTGTCCCACTGCCCACTCAGTTCTCAGCAGAGAGGAGACCTACGATGAGTAGTTCCTTTCTGCAGGCAGGTCATCCCATCATCTGCCCAAATCTGGCTGAGTCCAGGATTTTTATGGGCTTAAGAGGGAAGAAAGTGGGTTCTGATTGGCCGATGAGCACTCATGGGAGGGCCCAGAGAAAGCTCGGTGAAGTTCTTACTCCATGCGGGCTTCAAGCTATCCCTGGCCTGAAGGTGGGTCTTTTCTGGGGACCCGCCGTTTCTTCCCAGAAGCCTGTTTGTGTCCTAGCCCCATTAACCTGCTGTGCATGGTGCCTATGGCGTCCAGGCTTTTTGTGCCGAGGGTTGGCTGCCGTTAGGTGCCGAGCTGCCTTTAGCCCCCACCTCAGCCTCCCTCCCGTGCTCATGGGCACTCAAAATCTGGAGGGGACTGAGGTGATAGGGGGCTGATGTTTCAGTGCTGCCCCAAGCATGCACACACTGGGCCGGGTCGCCCAGGCTTGGCCACAACTTTGCTCTGAAATTGGAGTGGGCACTAGGAGCAGGGAGAGGGCAGGCAGTGAGAACAGGTACGTTCGAGCCTGCAGGGGCAAGGGTGTTTCCTAGGGTCCTGAGAGCACGGAGGTGCCTTGGCCCGTAGCTGGCTGGTCTGCTACAGCTGCGCCTGGGAAGGCAGGGCTCCAGCCCCTCCAACTTTTAAGCGTGGCAGGGCTTCCACCTATTCCAGGCTCCCACCAGCTCTGTGGAACACTCAGCTCCCACTACCTCTGTGGAGCACTCATCCCCTACTGCGGCTGGTGTCACGGCAGCAGGCACTACAGACAGGTCGCTGCAGCCATCCCTATTGCTCTGTCAATGATAGAAGCAATAAACATGGTGCTCACGTAACAAACAAAAGCACAGCAAAGTTGGAAAAGACACTCTTACACAGCCTTTCCAGCAGGCATCACGGGACCATAAGCACCTGGGCTCTGTTGGGAAGAGACCAGGGAGACAGGACGGCCCTGACACTGTAAACCTTGGAAACTTGGGTTAGTTTCCTCAGCTATAAGATGATGACAGTGATACCTATCTCATGGTTATGTTACATGGGTCAAATGAGAAATACACAAATCCACTATGTTTTATCATTATAGTTCCTGGGAAAAACATGATTTAAAAATTTTTTAATACAGTTTACCAGTAACTTGTTGTTAGAAAAATTCTGAGAATCATGATTTTGGATTGTGTTTCCGGCCTTCAAAGTGCTCCTCATTTTGAACTCATTTGAACTCCCTGAAAAAACTCATGTTGCCAATCAAATCTGAATTACTGCCTACCTCTGCAGGCCACTCTCCCCAAAACTGATTACCTTTTAACCATAATTTGAGATTTAGTCTTCAAAATAGGAAATAACAGTTTTGCAGCCTGGTCTGGCAGGGCTTTAAAGCACAGCTTCAGTCAGGCTGACATGTGCTTTTATTAACCATATTTCCTGTAGCTGCACAGACAATAAGAAAGCATTTCTGTGAGCAGAACCAATTGTAAGCGAACAGGTATATTTTTTCCCAGGCCTGGTCATGATGTCAAATGCTTGATTAGAAACGTCTTGTGCTTTTAGCTAAATTGGAGTAAATTTCTTTCCATTTGCAAAAACAATCCATTTCTGCCTTTCAGTCCACAGCCTCTCAACATCTAAATTCTCATCTCTCAATGACAAATAGACTCACAAATGTAACCCCCTGAGATGGGGAAACAATATTGTGATATTCGTTTGAAAACAAATTGAGTTAGTTTCAGGAAGGAGTAATCTGAACTACTGCACAGAATCACAAGCTTTGTATGATCCTGGAGAGAACAGGGACAAGCTACATGCAAACAATGGGTCCCAGTTGGGGAAACACTGGGATGGATTTGGCAGCTATGGAGAGAAATTTCAAGAAGAGTAACAAATAAAGAAAAACGTTAAGATCAAATAGATTAAAAAGCTGTTGGGGCACCTCCATGTACACATCTAATGGAGTGACACAACCATAATAAATCAGGTTTTGGAAGTGCAGGACTGAAGTGGGGGAGTTGAGGTGATTCTGAACAGAGGCAGTTCCTGGGAAAATCCTCCCAGAGAAGGTAAGAAAAGATGGAAACAGGAACCAAGTTTCTACTATATGCAGGATTAAAAAGCGAAAGCAGGCTCAATGAAATCAAGCATTACAGACAAGGGCTCCTATTTGGGTGCCAAGGACAAAGAAACTTACAGTGAATGCCACTAACAAGACTACCATCCCCCAAAATACTGCAGGCTCACTTGGGGTCCTTCCTGTTCCTTGTCTTTAAAAATTGTCAGCTATAACAAAGCAATCTATTGATATTTCAAGGAACTCAACTCAAATTTTTTTATTTAAAATTTATTATTTAACTCTTAACTGGCCAGTGCACAAGTACAGAATCATAGATTGGTAGAAGATTTAGCGAGAAGTAATAGTACTGATCATTTACTCTAACCTCATTTTATAAGCAATGACAATAAGATTATCCCAGACCACAGAGAAAGCCAATTAGAGAGCCAGGAATGAGAACCATAGTCTCCAAATTTCTAGACAAAGTTGTTGTTGGTTTTTCCTACTATAGTTATCTAACTCCAGATTAACCTTCAACATTTTCCCCCCAAAAAGCATCATATTTAAAGCCTAAAAGAAGATAATTCTATTAATAACAGAACCCAGGTAGAAGTAAGCTAGATTTTAAGTCAGAATTGGAGAAGTTATAAAATGAAGATTACTTAATGAAGGAGGGAAAATGCAACCAGAAAGAAACACCTTTGGCTTTGCACTCAAAGCAGGTGTAGAATTAACCATTTTTTATGATCTCCACTGCTATCTTCCCAGCCCATGGCAGCGTCAAGATGGCAATGCCCTTCTAATTGGCCTTTCTTTTCTATTCTTGCTCCCCTAGTGTCTAAGCTCAATACAAAAGCCAAAATGAGCCCTTTAAGTTAGTTACGCAGCCACAAAAAACGATGAGTTCGTGTCCTTTGTAGGGACTTGGATGAATCTGGAAACCATCATTCTCAGCAAACTGACACAAGAACAGAAAGTCAAACACTGCATGTTCTCACTCATAGGTGGGTGTTGAACAATGAGAACACGTGGACTCAGGGAGGGGAACATCACACACTGGGGGCAGTGGGGGGGGGTAGGGGAGAGACAGTGGGGGGTGGGGAGGGTGGGGACAGTTAACATGGGGAGAAATGCCAGATATAGTATGCACCTAAAGTAAAATAAATAAATTAAAAAAAAAAGATGTAAGTCAGTTTATGTCATTTCTCCACTCAATTCTCTAATTTTTTCACCTTTCATGAAAAATTAAGCCAAGATTACTAAAACAACCTCAAGGTCCTACACAATCAGTCTCCCGCATTTCCTCTCTGACTTCATCTCCTTTTATCCATTTCAGTCACTGTATTTCAGCCTTCTGGCCTGCTGGCTTTTTTATTTAATACAGGGTCTTAGTATATTGTCCACACTGTTCTACCTCAGCATCCTGAGTAGCTGGGACTGTGACACTATGCCTGACTCTGACTGTCTTGAACACATTAGGCATAGTCCTGCCTTAATGTATTGATTATCTCTTTCCTCTGTCTGGAATACTTCCTTTCACTATGCATATCTCATCTTACCATTCATGTATTTGTATAAATGTCATCTTCTCAGTAAGGTATACCTTGATATTCTTTCAAAAATTATTCTACACCCCTCAAATTCTTAGTCCTTCTCCTCTTGCTCTATTTTTATAGCACTCTTAATGCTTTAACATTTACCTGATCATTTACTTCCACGACAATGTAAACATTAAGAGGAGTATCAAACCATTTACTGAGGTGTTTTGTTACTGACGGCCATGTAGCACATAAAATAGTATGTAAAATATAATAACAGATATTCGCTGAAAGAAAGACTTGACTGAAAGCAGATGATCATCATGTTAAAATGCATAATCTTTGGTTTTACTCAGACGTGAGTATATAAATTCTGTACCATAGACAATTTCACAGCATTGAAAGTTCCTAAAGATCAAGAAAATGATCTGATATCTCCAATATGAGTTTATAGATATGTCAGAAGTACACCAGAAATCATTAGGAATGTGCACATGACTTTCATGAGAAGATCTAGCTAAATAGACTACCAAACCATTTGCCAAGATGGGGAAACCAAATATTATAAAAATTCAAATTCTCCCAAATTCATATTCTTCGTATAATTTCAATAAAAAATCTCATCAGATTTTTTTTTTAGAAGTTAATAAAGTGTTTTACAGGGTCATTTGAAAGAACAGAAAGCTGAGAATCTAAGTAATTACTGAGAAAAAAGATTAATACCAAGAAGAAGAAGACGAAAAATTAAGTTGGTGCAAAAGTAATTGCAGTTCTTGCCATTGAGTTTGCTTTTTCACCAACCTAATACATATTCACATTAGGATGTACAAGAAAGTCCTACATTGTGAGTAACTGATACTGGTTTAAGACAATTAGGTAAATTCTGCTTCCAGAACAGTCAGGTAAAGGGTCATTTAGTCAATATGTGGTACTGGGGAAACACAATAACTATTTGTGAAAATAGTTTGATCTTCACCTAATACTATATGCAAAGTAATTTTTTTTCACTGCTTAAAAATTTAAATAAGAAAATAAAGATTTAGAATACATTATAGTGGATCTGATTTCAAGGCAAGTAAGGGTCTCTAAGATTAAAAGTATGGAACTAAATATGATAATGAGCATTTCTAATGAATTTGATTCACTATTATTATTATTAAGCAAACAACCAATGTGGGTTGATCCTGGGTGGAAAAGCATTTGTTTTGTGAGATGAAAAACCTTGAAGAGGGTTAAGATTTAGAGTTACGGGCCATTAGGCATTAGGGATTAGAACTTTTGCTTCGTGTTCCTAGCTATTATCACCAAGCCTTCACCAAATTTCTGTTTACCTACAAGTGCAGTTTAGTGGCTCCCTAAAAAATAAAAAAGGTCAAATTTAATTGATAGTCTGGGGCACTAAGGATCAGATCAACCTATGCAGTTGGAATGCCTGTATTGAAATGGCCCAAGGTGATCGAAAACTCAAGAAGAGTAAAGCGGAGGAAAGCAAATGAGACAAAAGGAGAAAACGTAAAGATCCCACATAACTTTTTGGAAATGAAGATGGAGGAAGCACTGCCAACATTATATGAAATTGAGAGCTTATTTGATTTTATTTAGATATTAAAACAAAATTTGACATTCAAAGAATGACAGGAGATAATTGCATTGTACATACACATACATAAACACTAATATATGTAGACATACACACATAAATACACGGGTATATACAGTATATACCCATGTTCAGTATGCAGAACATACAAACATGCATACTCATTAGCAATTTATTAAGTTGAACTTGATAGTGTATATACAAGAGCCACCTCAGTTTTCACTCTTTTATATCCTTTCAAATCTCTGTTAACTAGTGGTTATTCTAACTCTGCGTAAAATCATGGGGATATCCCACAGTCTTTAGTGAGTAGAGGGTTTATAAAAATCCACTTGACTCGAGCTCAGTTTCGCATACTAACAAAGCTCAGAATCCTTCCCTAAGTCAAGGCTTCTTCCTGCAGTGGCTTAATCCCACTTGAGCGTTTTTAGTCTACAGAAGAGAAGCAGAGTTTGGCTGCTCAATGATGAGTGCTCTTCAACTCCTGCACCACTCACTAACTTTTCTTTTCTGATTTCTCCAGCTTAGGGCCTTGGATGAAGGTGGAATAAGAAGAAAGGATACACACTCTTGAGTCGCTAACATATTTGTAATTTTGAAATGGCAGGAGTCGAAAACCAACCCTTTTATTCATAGGATACTTCTGCAGATTAATGGGAAACCATTCCATTGGGAACCACACAAGTTTATTTGCCTAAGGCTAAGAATTTACCGCTATCACCCTCAGTGCTTCTACTTCAGAAAGGATATCACTAGTCAAGGTCCCTTTCCATCTCTCAAGTTTACACCTTGTCTTTAGAGAACTCACATTTTCATTCTGCTATTGAGAGAAGTGCAGTTTTCTTTCAGCGTGACTTACCCCAGGCAAGGGGGAGCTCTAGTCACAGCCTCTTACCTTTAAATTTTGCAGATATGGGTCAAATGTCAGCTCCTATTTTCTTCCAACTCCCACAGCCCATTGGCAAGGCCTCCAAAGGGATCACTTGAAGATCCATCACATAACTTCAAATGAGGGAGAAGACCTAATTTCCTTTACCCATAATGCCAGGGACTAAAAATTCACAGGATATGGTTAACAACCATCTGTAAAACAACCTTCTCTCTTCATTTTGCTAACTTCTCAATGTTTCTCTTATTTGACCCAAGGTGAAAGAAAAGCCCTAGCACTTAAAGAACACTTGCTTCTTGCTTCCAAGATAGGAGACTAGCTAATAGTGCTGGCATCAATTATATCACCTTCACCTTCCAAGTCCTGCATAGACAGTTCTGCCATTCACTTTAAAATGTGGGGGTTCGCGGGCCTGCATTTTGTTCTGAGGCTTTGGGTTGCTGGTATAATTCCAAGATGAAAAGTCAATGAAACAATCTGTTAGACCACACACATATGTACCTATGCATATGTATTCATATATCACTTCATCACAGACACAGATGAATACAGTAATCATGCATGTATGTGTGTCTGAGTCTATATATGAATGAATAATGGAAATATAATATCGATAGTATAAAATATTGATGTGATGAAATTGCTTCTGATTTTATTTTCTTCTTTCATTTTTTTCTCTTTTCTAAAATAGCATGCCTTACTCTTAAAACAACAAAAGTGTATATTTATATACAAACACATAATAATGGATCTTATTTTAAAGTTGTGATATTAGTTCAAAAGAAATAAAACATCACTGGAAATGACTAAGTAGTTAAGAAACGGACCTTACATAATAAATTTATTATGTAATAAAAAAGCATCAGAAAATTGAGAAGAATTATTTAATAAGGGATATTGAGATATTTTGGAATCACCTTTATAAATATCAAATGAGTTCAACAGTGTATAATGGATACACACTCATGCATACACATATACATATACATGATCTATATGAATGTGTATATATATACATATATATGTATACACATACATATGTATGCCTATGTGTCTTCATATGTGTGTATATGTGTGTGCATATGTAGATAATTAAATTAAAAACTAGAAATAAACATACGTGATGAACATGTTAATCACTGGAATGAAGATAAGTTTAAAAGCAGTTTAGAAGCAAGAACAAGTGAAAAGGTAGACAAAAATTTAATACTTCGGTGTACCTAAGTGGAAAAGATCAATGTGACAGATTTTCAGCTCTTTTTAATATATGGACTGTGAAAGAATTAATTGGCAAAAAAATAAAAGAAATTATAACGTTATCTCTTCTTCCCACAAACAATTATTGAGTGACCGCTATGTACCGAAACTTTCCAAAACACTAAGGAAGCAAGTGCTTCATGACAACATTTCCATCAAGGACAGATCACAAACACAACTGTGGTCCCATAAGGTTATAAAGAAACTGAAAAATTCCTATAGACTAGTGATGTTGTCGCTGTCATAATGTTGTAATGTAACTAATGCTTTACTCACAGTTTTGTGGTAATACTGGTGTAAATGAACCTACTGTGCTACCAGTCATATAAAAGTATAGCACATACAAGTATATACAGCACATAATACGTGATCATAATAAATGACTGCTGCTGGTTTATGGATTTACTCTACTATAGTTTTTAATCATATTTAAGTGTAGTTCTACTTACTGAAAAAAACAGTTAGCTATAACCCAGTCTCAGGCAGATCCTTGAGAATGTATTCCAGAGGAGGCACTGTTACCATAGGAGATGACAGCATCATGGTGTTTTTGCCCCTGAAGACCTTCCAGTGGGACAAGACATGGAGGTGGAAAACAGTAATATTGATGATCCTGACCCTGTGTAGGCCTAGGATAGTGTGTGTGTGTGTGTTTGTGTCTTAGTTTTTAGCTTAAACAGTAAAAAAATGTAAAAAATAAAACTTAGAAAAAAGCATATAGAATAAAAATACAAAAAAATTTTTATGTACATCTGTACAAGGGTTTGTTTTAAGCTAAGTATTATCAAAAAAGAGTCAAAAAGTTTTTAAAAAATAAAAAATTTATAAAGTAAAAATGTTACAGTAAGCTAAGGTCAAATTATTATTGAAGAAAGAAAAAGGTTTTATAAATTGAGTGTAGAGTAAGAGTATAGTATGTATAAAGTCTGCAGTAGTGTACAGTAATGCCCTCGGCCTTCACCTTCCCTCACCACTCACTCACTGACTCACCCAGAGCAACTTCCAGTCCTGCAAGCTCCATTCATGGTAAGTGCTCTATACAGGTGTGTATTTTTACTGTATGTTTTCTATTTTTAGATACATAAGTATGACTGTTGTGTTACAATTGCATTCAGTATTCAGTACGGGAGCATGCTGTACAGGTTTGTCACCTATAAGCCACAGGCTATATATAGCCTATAGTCTCAGTGTACTATAGGTTATAACATCGAGGTTTTCATAAGTACACTATACTCTATAATGTTCAAATAACACCTAAAGATGCATATACCTGCGGTATTCCCATCGTTAAGCAATGCATAACTATTTCGGATAGCCCATTATAATGCTTTATAGTAAAAGCTATGATAGTAATTAGTAAGGCCTGGATTGAAAACCCACATTAAGAACACCAAAATCAGACTTGTAAACTGTGGGCTGGAAGGTAGACGAGCACCTGGAAAATTTTCCAGAACAAGTTACAACACAGAGTGGTTTAAATAAAGAATGATTTTGAATTCTAGCTCACACTCGAGTACTAGTTCTCTTTCCTCAGATCTTTTACAAACCAAGATTACACATTTAAAATAAGATTCATAATTATTCTCTGAGCTTCAATGTTCATGTCTATATACTGGCAATATTAATAAATTTACAGGGATATGGAAAGGATTTAATGAGAATTATTTATTTAGATGTTAGTGAGCCTTCAATAAATGGTTGTTAATAAAAATAACAAAATACGAACTGTAAAACTAAGGACCCAGGAGAGAATAAAGTATTTGCAGACTGAAAATGTTTAATATAGCCAAATACTAAATGTGTAAAAGTGAGGCAAGGTATGGAGAGCAGAAAGGCTTGAGAAATAAATATGGGATGGATGAAAAACAATTGAAAGGAAAGCCACAGCTGGTTCTCAGCCAGAGAGCTGCATGGTGAGATTTTCCTTTTAGAATGATGAAATTGTCAGTAACTTGGATAATAAATTTGAATGTGATTATCAGAAACAAAAAGACTAGTTAAGAGATGGTCTCAATAATCCAGACAAGAAATGATGAAGACCTGAAGTAAGGAGGTATATATATTCAAGAAATGTCAAAGAAAGGACGGTTCCTGAATAACCGGTTTAGTCAATAGATGATGGCAGCATTTGCAAAGATAAGAAACAAGAAAATAAGAGAAGGAATATTAAATGTGAATAAATTTTTTGTTTTCTTTTTTTTTTTTTGGACCTTGTAATAGTTCTAATATTGTTCACTAGTACCCAGTTTCTCTCTACTTCCAGGCTTAAGGGAATGTTACGCTTTCTCACTCTAACACATATGTGGACTATGATTTTCTCTGGCCAATTAAATAAGTGCAATTGATAGAGATGGAGATCTCACATTTGTGCATTATTTGTAGTTCTTGATTCTCTACCGTCCTTTACCCATACCATGATAACAAGTCATATTCCTGAAAAAGGAGCAAATTGAGGATGATGTATTTCAGAAAATTTTTCTTTGATAAGTTATAGATCCATAAAATCTTAAGTGACCAATGAAGTCATAATGATGTCCACAATTTTCATTAGGGGAAAAAAAGCATCAATTAGCCGTGGTTTGAATTTTGATTCTAAGATCACAATTCTTCATAGTATTGAGTCCCTTAAAATGTTGTTCATTATTTATACCTGAAAAGCAATAATTAATATATACGATCTTGTAAAGTTATCCACTGTTGATGAGCTTTTTCTAACCAGTAAAATTGGGATAATAATAATTGTGGGATGAATTCCACTGGTTTTGTAGAGGACTAAATGAGTTGATGCATATAGAAAACAGAATAGTGACCGATTCATTGTCAGCACTCAGCTAATAAGACCTCTGGTTCTTATCTCTTTTACATTTTTTTAAATGTATTTCCCTTGTTCCTTATATTTTGGACTTTCTCAGAAAAAAAATTCCATCTTCTTCTCTCATGAGCTACCCACTCTAGCTTTATCTCATCCTCTCAAAGAACATTATTCACCACGTATTTGTCAACACTTGAATCATCCTTCTTAGATTTCTTTTCAAAGTACAGACCCATGCTTAACATCATACTAAGCATCTCAGCTCAGACATTCCAAACTAAACTAAACTCTAATCCTGCTTCTGTAAAACCATCTGTGATGGCTAATACTGAGTGTTACCTTGGCTGGATTGAAGGATACAAAGTACTGATTTTGAGCATGTCTGTGAGGGTGTTGCCAAAGGAGATTAACATTTGAGTCAGTGGGCTGGGAAAAGCAGACCCACCGTTAATCTGGGTGGCACAATCTAATCAGCTGAGAGCACAGCAAAATATAAGCAGACAGAAAAATGGGAAAGTGGGGACTGGCCTAACCTCCCAGCTACATCTTTCTCCCATGCTGGATGCTTTCTGTCCTCGAACATCAGATTCCAAGTTCTTCAGTTTTAGAACTCGGACTGGCTCTCCTTGCTCTTCAGCCTGCAGATGGCTTATTGTGGGACCTTGTGATGCTATGAGCTAATACTTAATAAATTCCCCTTTATATATATTATATATAAGAACTAATGGAATATATATATATATGTATACTGTATTAGGGTTCTCTAGAGGGATATATATATATAGATATTTATATATATAATATATTTGTATATTTATTTATTTATATATATATGTATATATATATCTATATATATATATCCCTCTAGAGAATGCTAATACAGATTTTGGTACCAGGAATGGTTCTAGAGAAACAGAATATTAAGGATTGAGTTCTTTCTTTGGTTTGGGGGTTTCTGGAGTTGGCTGCTTAATATGATTAGATCCAAAAGTGATAAGGACTCTACTTCTAATAGTGTGGAGAACGCTGATAGTCCTTGGCATGAGCTGTTTAGAAGAATTATGCAATTTAAATGGACTTGACACTCTGCATATACTGCTCATGAGAAGCAAGGAGCTTAGTGACTCTGTACATAATACCTTGACCGTATGTGAGAAACAAGAAACATAATAATCTGCTTAGTCACTCCTAAGTTCAGTGGACAAAATGATGAAAGAAATCAAGGATTCTATCTCCTGGCTTAGCCTCAAATCTGCTAAGATTGCCTGGGTTTCTTGTACAGAAAGAGCTGAAATTGTGGAAAACAGATACAAGCTCTTACCGTATAAGTGCTTGACCTGCAATGAAAGATGCATGCACAGCCTCACCAGGTGTCTACTGTTCAATTGAGAGCATTGACTGGAAAAGAATGAGACCCTGCTACTTGGAATGGGGATGTGTGGGAGGACCCTGATGAAGCTGGGGACACTGAGTTTGTAAACTCTGGTGAAACTTTCTTGCTTTTTTGCCAGAAGAGCGAGCTTCCCCATCCCCAGTAATGACAATATCCCCTCCCCTACCCACGCTGCCATCAGCCTTTCCAACTTTGTCTGAGGAGATAAACCCTGCACTGCCTAGGCAACAGTGATGGCCTCCCTGAGGCAGTTGCCAGGCAAGATAATGTTGATTCTCTTGAGTAGCCACCCCTAACACCCCTGTTTGCTTCTAGACCTATAACTAAAGTTCCGGAAGGCCCCTAGAGGTGAGGTTGCGTATGTGACCCATGAGGAGGTATGCCTCACTCAAGAACTGCTTGAGTTTTCTAATTCATATAAACAGAAATCTGGAGAACAGGCATGAGAATGGATCTTAAGGGTGTGGGATAATGGTAGTAGGAACATAGGGTTGGATCAGGCTGAATTTACTGATTTGGGCCCACTGGGTAGGAACTCTGCATTAATGCTGCAGCTTGGGGAGTTAAAAAAAGGTTCTAATAGTTTATTTGCTTGGTTTGCTGAAATGTAGATTAGAAGATGGTCCACTGTGAGCAAGCTGGAAATGCCTGATCTCCCTTGGTTTAATGTAGAGGAAAGGATCCAAAGGCTTAGGGAGACTGGGATGGTAGAGTGGGTTAGTCACTTCAGACCTACTCATCCCAGCTGGGAGGGTCCAGAAGATATACCCTTGACCAATGCCTTACAAAATAGATTTATGAGGGCAGCACCTACATATTCGAAGAGGCCTGTAATTGCTCTTCTCTGTATGTCAGATCTAGCAATGGGAACCACAGTCATTCAACTATAAAATTTAAATATAGTGGGAATAATTGGATCCTGAGGTGGCAGGGGCCAAGAAACAGCACTCAACCATCAAAGGCAAGGTGGGTGTAGCTACTGTAATAGACAGCAGGGGCAAAGAGGCAATCAGAATAGTCTGACTTGTGTAGCGCTCTGGCATTGGCTAATTGATCATAGTGTTCCTAGATGTGACATTGATAGAAAGTCTAATGCATTCCTCCTTAAATTATACAAACAGGAAACTTCTAGGCCGAATGGACAAAAGAGTAACCTGAATTATAAAAACAGAGAATCATGGCCCCTCAATCAATTTCCAGACTTGAGCTGATTTACAGAACCAGAACCCCTTGAATGAAGGGAAGGCCAGGACCCCTTGAGGAAGAACCCCACTATGTTACCGACAATTTATGCTGTGAATCTTTCTCCCATCCTTGCAGAGGTAAAAGGAGATCTCTGGCCTTTTACCAGGTAACTACATTGTGGAAAGGGAAATGTTCTGTCTCTCTAGAGAACCCTAAATAATATGCCATCCTTCTACCTATGTTGTGTTTTTTATTTTAGTGAATTTTCTGAATGTGTTTTAATCAATTTCACCACCATTCATTCTGATGCTTATGTTAGAAAAATGTATGCTTTCCATATATTGCACCTTTCTTATTCTCTATAATTTATCAACCATATATCCTACACCTACCGCATGCTAAAATTCTCTTGAATATGTGTTTTTCATTCACAGAGGCAGGCATCCCCTGTGTAATATCATTTTAACTTTCTAATTG